TAAAAGTGTTAAAAAAAACAAAAAAAAAAAAAAAAACAAGTGTCATGTGTTGAGTACTTGTGTCATGTTGTGGGTATTGTTGTGGGCACATGTTGTTGGTACATGTTGTTCGAACATGTTGTGGGTACATGTTGTGAGCACATGTTGTGGGTACATGTTGTGGGTACATGTTGTAGGCACAAGTTGTGGGTATATGATTGGGTACATGTTGTAGACCCATGTTGTGGGTACATGTTGTGGGCACATGTTGTGGGCACATGTTGTTGGTACATTTGTCATGTGTTTAGTATTTGCCTTGTTATGTAAAACGCTATTATGTTATTGTTATGTATTACGTCTAAACACACTTGATTAAAAAAAAATCTAAACGCAAAACATTTACGTTTCTAATATTTTTAATTGATTGTGCACAGTTAGATGGGTGAGCAGACAACTTTAATTTTATTCTGGCGATGAGGGTATGATTAGTTTTCGGTGTTGTCTGTGCACATTTCTTTCGACCAATTCAATACCAGCGATAATCTCATACGAGAGGATTAATGTGTACGTGGTCTAGCCACATTGTCACATACATGTGTACGTGGTCTAGCCACGTATTCAGTCATCCCTAAGCAGAAAAAACACATATCCACCAACAGACAACCACATATCAACCAACAGACAACCACAGATCCACCAACAGACAACCACATATCAACCAACAGACAACCACATATCAACCAACAGACAACCACATATCAACCAACAGACAACCACATATCAACCAACAGACAACCACAGATCCACCAACAGACAACCACATATCCACCAACAGACAACCACATATCCACCAACAGACAACCACATATCCACCAACAGACAACCACAGATCAACCAACAGACAACCACATATCCACCAACAGACAACCACATATCAACCAACAGACAACCACATATCAACCAACAGACAACCACATATCCACCAACAGACAACCACATATCCACCAACAGACAACCACATATCCACCAACAGACAACCACATATCCACCAACAGACAACCACATATCAACCAACAGACAACCACATATCAACCAACAGACAACCACATATCAACCAACAGACAACCACATATCAACCAACAGACAACCACAGATCAACCAACAGACAACCACAGATCCACCAACAGACAACCACATATCCACCAACAGACAACCACATATCCACCAACAGACAACCACATATCCACCAACAGACAACCACATATCCACCAACAGACAACCACAGATCAACCAACAGACAACCACATATCCACCAACAGACAACCACATATCAACCAACAGACAACCACATATCAACCAACAGACAACCACATATCAACCAACAGACAACCACATATCCACCAACAGACAACCACATATCCACCAACAGACAACCACATATCCACCAACAGACAACCACAGATCAACCAACAGACAACCACTTATCAACCAACAGACAACCACATATCAACCAACAGACAACCACATATCCAACCACATATCCACCAACAGACAACCACATATCCACCAACAGACAACCACATATCCACCAACAGACAACCACATATCAACCAACAGACAACCACATATCAACCAACATACAACCACAGATCAACCAACAGACAACCACATATCCACCAACAGACAACCACATATCCACCAACAGACAACCACATACCCACTAACAGACAACCACATATCCACCAACAGACAACCACATATCAACCAACAGACAACCACATATCAACCAACAGACAACCACATATCAACCAACAGACAACCACATATCAACCAACAGACAACCACATACCCACCAACAGACAACCTCTAATATTCTAGCTGTTAACCACACATCCACCTTTATGTTCTTCGTCTTCGTTTCTGATGTATTAGTGGAGATGATTTAGTAGAACATATTTAAGAATTCTGTATAAACCGGTTAAGCACCGCATGGCTCTATTACTCCTTCGGCTTCCATCAAAGAACTGCCCCAAGACTCCGTCGGCTTCCATAGCCTTTGCCCATTAAATAACTACCCCAAGGCTGTCTTTGTTTAACTAGGGAGTTTCCACACCTAGACGGGTTGCCCTCTATAAATAGTCGTACCCTAATATATAAAAGCTCTTTTGTGCACTTCTCTCTCTCTCTCTCTCTCTCTCTCTCTCTCTCTCTCTCTCATTTTTTAGGCTGTGAGATCAGTATGTTCAGCGATATATAAAGTTTTGTTGAAAATAATATGTTGGTTGTTTTAAATGTATAAACTAAATTTTATTGAAAGAAGGAAAATAAAAATAAATGCATATTCGATTGTAGAAAAAAACATTTTAACTATGCAGCCGGAAAAGTGTTTATTGTTGTGATAAGAACGAAAAAAACCAATGACGTCACATGTCACACGTTTAAACTACGGAAAGTACACAACACTAATGACATCTTCTTCTAAGTTTTGAATATGAAGAAATGAACTATTACATTCAAATTTTATTTAGACTAGATCTATCGATCTACTTATCAAGACGTACGCTATGAAATATGTACAATTTTGTTGGCCAAAAGTATTACAAATTACTTTTTTTAAAAACAACATAAATACCATTGAATAGCCGGATTTTTACAAGCTTTTATTTAACTTGCTTCCTCGTCAGTCTGTCGTCAGTCTGTCGTCAGTCTGTCTGTCTAGATCGTAACGGCCGTGTGAATTTGCAGGCACTTCTAACTAACAGATACGGTTCGTAATTGGTACGTGGGTCCAGACATGAAGACAATGTATCGTGACATTCAATTTGACTTAATTGGTCGCCTAATTAATTTTTTTATGAATTAATTAAAATTTGGACCGAATTAGTAAGCAGTTCTATCCACACGCGTCATCACGGCCGTGTTGGGCGTGGAGCGAGGGGGGCTCTACGTCAAAAGCGCGTCATCACGTTCAATAGACGCGCGATGGTTTTTAGTCGGGTCAGTAGTCTAGTTCTTTACCACTAGACTACGCCGTCCCATAAAATTTTACTGAAACAAGCTATAAACTTGACAGTGGTTTTTAGTCATGTAACTATTGTAAATAAAACATGCAAAGTACTGGAAAAAAAATTCATTAAAAAAACGTTTTAATAACAAGCTTTTATGTAACAATGCACTAAAAAGTAGAAAATAAATTATACACTACTATTTAAATAACTATAACGAAAAGCGTGGGTCTCTTCCTAAATATTAGACACTACTATTTAAATTACTATTAAAATCAGTGTGTGCATTTAATATGCTGTTGTGTTGACTAATCTAATATATAAAGCTCAATTCTGTATGTAATAAGTTTGTCGTTGACATACTTGGATGGATTAAAGTGTTAGATCAATTATCGTGCTCATAGTCTAAATTTATGAGTTAAAAAAATACTATTGAAAGTGTTGGGAAATAATTTTCATTTTTCAAACTGATAGTAATAATTGTCGGCATGTTCATTAAACACAATTTTTAAAAAATATCAAAAATTCTAATTATGTCTGAAAATTATTTATATTTAGTCCTTTAGCACTTACTTCCCTTTGATAAATTAGGAAAACACAATTACTTCCCTTTATAAAACCATTGCATTAGTGGAAAAGAATTTACTTTTTATTAATTTGTTTTGCTGTTGGAAAAAAAAAATAATTATATAATTAGCGGGGATTGATCAAGTGCAAATGTTGTAGGTATTTTACGGATAAGCTTGGAGTATTATAATTGTTCATTTGGTTTGGTTTGGCAACTACGTTCGTTTAAGTGAGTGCAAAAGACTATGAATAAGTTGGGGTACTATAGTCGTTTATTAAGCTGAAACAGGCGATTCTGCCCTGGGCTAGACTGTGAGCACTTTGCGTTTATGCTCGCGTTTGTATTTTCATTGTGGTTAGGTTGGGTTTGCGTTAGTGGTTGCGTTTTGATTTGGTTGGTTTTTGTTCTTTCTTTTTTCGTTTTCGTTTGTGTTTTATTTTCTTTGGGTTTATGTTTGTATTTCTGTTTGTGGTTGGTTTTGCGTTTGGATTTGGTTTGTTTTCGTTTGCTTTTTTGTTTGTGTTTTTTTTTCTTTGGGTTTGTGTTTGTGTTTGTGGTTGGTTTTGCGTTTGAATTTGGTTTGTTTTCGTTTGCTTTTTCGTTTGTTTTTTTCTTTGTGTTCGTATTGGTGTTTGTGGTTGTGGTTGGGTTTGTTGTTAGGTTTTTGTTTTCGTTTGCTTTTTTATTTGTTTTTTCTTTGTGTTTGTATTGGTGTTTGTGGTTGTGTTTGTTGTTTGGTTTTTATTTTCGTTTGTATTTGTAATTGTGTTAGCATTATGTTTGCGTTTTGTTGTTTTGGTTTTGGTTGGTTGTGGTTTGGGTGGGCAATGCCAGGTTTATGATGATTACTAAACACACAGGTAATGGTCTTTAACAGAAAGGTTTTTCACAGAAGCCAGAGCAGGGCCTGGCCGGGACGGCTAGTAATGTATATTTTTTGTTTTTCTAATTGGTATTGGTAGCCTTTGTTATATTAAATGTATCGTGTTTTAGCTATTACGTTATTTCTTTGCATTTTCACAAATATCGTTCAATGTGTAGTAAAGCACATTGCGCTTTGACCGATAACTATTTTTCCCACGTTTTCTTTAACTTGCTTTCGCGTCTGTTTGTCTTTCCATCAAATCTTGCGATCGACATTTCGGGCACTTCCCAGTTAGCTAGCGCACTGAAATTTTCAGGGAAGCTTTGTTTCCGATGACAATACAATATTCAATTATTATTATTACTTAATTGATCCATGGAAAAATTTTATTGATCATTTTAGACTCCTATTGATTTGTACAAAAAAGGGACATAACCTAGTAATTGTAATTTGATAAAAATATGTGTCGGTACTTTCCCTCTTCTGGCCTCCTATTGAATGAACAAAAAACTTTTTAGTTCAATCAGAAAACGAGGGTTTTTAAAAAAAAATTTAATGATAATTACCAAATATTTCTTCATACAAGTGCAACATTAAAAAATATAGGCTATTATTTCACGTGTATCAAGTACCGACGGCTAGTATTTTTATTTTTAAAGAAAGTCTTTTTATTTACTTTTTTTACTTCATTTCATAGCTTGTTATTTTGAGTTTTATTTTTTCTATCGTTCACACACATTCATCAAACTCCACATTTTTTTTCAATTGAATTTTTATTTTGTCTGCATCGTAATCTTAAATCTAACGCTTGAAACTTTGAACTTCCAAGACACGTGTTTCAATTAGCCTGTGGGTTTTTTGGTTGCTGCGGCTTTCTTAGTAGTTGTAGTTGCTTTTTTGGTGGTTGTGGTGGCTTTTTTGGTGGTTGTGGTTTGTTTTGGTGCTACGGTGATCTGTTTATGGGTTGTTGCGGGTTGTTTGTGGGTTGTTGCGGGTTGTTTGTGGGTTGTTGCGGGCTGCTTATGCGTAGTTTGATGATGTGGGGGGTAGGTCGGTTCGTATGGCGGGTTGACATAATCAGGGTTGAACAAACGGGACAAGTAACTGTGAAGAAGAATTAAAAGTTATCATAAGTTATCAAAAGTTATCAAAAGTTATCATAAGTTATCATAAGCTATCATAAGTTATCAAAAGTTATCATAAGTTATCATAAGTTATCATAAGTTATCATAAGTTATCATAAGTTATCAAATGATGATTGCATTTAAAGGAATGATTCCGATGTTGATGACCATCGTAATTTACGCAACCAGAAAGTAAATGGCCCAGCCAGATAACATTTCATATACAGAGGAGAAATACAAGATTCAATTACTAACACTAGTCCCATTAACTGAGCTAACTATTATTATGAACATGTAAGATAATGAAGCTGAACGTATGGAGCAGTAGATGAGCCAAGTGGAAACTTACTGAACGTATGGAGCAGTAGATGAGCCAAGTGGAAACTTACTGAACGTATGGAGCAGTAGATGAGCCAACTAGAAACTTACTGAACGTATGGAGCAGTAGATGAGCCAAGTGGAAACTTACTGAACGTATGGAGCAGTAGATGAGCCAACTAGAAACTTACTGAACGTATGGAGCAGTAGATGAGCCAACTAGAAACTTACTGAACGTATGGAGCAGTAGATGAGCCAACTAGAAACTTACTGAACGTATGGAGCAGTAGATGAGCCAACTAGAAACTTACTGAACGTATGGAGCAGTAGATGAACCAAGTGGAAACTTACTGAAAGTATGGAGCAGTAGATGAGCCAACTAGAAACTTACTGAACGTATGGAGCAGTAGATGAGCCAACTAGAAACTTACTGAACGTATGGAGCAGTAGATGAGCCAACTAGAAACTTACTGAACGTATGGAGCAGTAGATGAGCCAACTAGAAACTTACTGAACGTATGGAGCAGTAGATGAGCCAACTAGAAACTTACTGAACGTATGGAGCAGTAGATGAGCCAACTAGAAACTTACTGAACGTATGGAGCAGTAGATGAGCCAACTAGAAACTTACTGAACGTATGGAGCAGTAGATGAACCAAGTGGAAACTTACTGAACGTATGGAGCAGTAGATGAGCCAACTAGAAACTTACTGAACGTATGGAGCAGTAGATGAGCCAACTAGAAACTTACTGAACGTATGGAGCAGTAGATGAGCCAACTAGAAACTTACTGAACGTATGGAGCAGTAGATGAGCCAACTAGAAACTTACTGAACGTATGGAGCAGTAGATGAGCCAAGTGGAAACTTACTGAACGTATGGAGCAGTAGATGAGCCAACTAGAAACTTACTGAACGTATGGAGCAGTAGATGAGCCAACTAGAAACTTACTGAACGTATGGAGCAGTAGATGAGCCAACTAGAAACTTACTGAACGTATGGAGCAGTAGATGAACCAAGTGGAAACTTACTGAACGTATGGAGCAGAAGTTGAGCCAACTAGAAACTTACTGAACGTATGGAGCAGTAGATGAGCCAACTAGAAACTTACTGAACGTATGGAGCAGTAGATGAGCCAACTAGAAACTTACTGAACGTATGGAGCAGTAGATGAGCCAACTAGAAACTTACTGAACGTATGGAGCAGTAGATGAGCCAACTAGAAACTTACTGAACGTATGGAGCAGTAGATGAGCCAACTAGAAACTTACTGAACGTATGGAGCAGTAGATGAGCCAACTAGAAACTTACTGAACGTATGGAGCAGTAGATGAGCCAACTAGAAACTTACTGAACGTATGGAGCAGTAGATGAACCAAGTGGAAACTTACTGAACGTATGGAGCAGTAGATGAGCCAACTAGAAACTTACTGAACGTATGGAGCAGTAGATGAGCCAAGTGGAAACTTACTGAACGTATGGAGCAGTAGATGAGCCAAGTGGAAACTTACTGAACGTATGGAGCAGTAGATGAGCCAAGTGGAAACTTACTGAACGTATGGAGCAGTAGATGAGCCAAGTGGAAACTTACTGAACGTATGGAGCAGTAGATGAGCCAACTAGAAACTTACTGAACGTATGGAGCAGTAGATGAGCCAACTAGAAACTTACTGAACGTATGGAGCAGTAGATGAGCCAAGTGGAAACTTACTGAACGTATGGAGCAGTAGATGAGCCAAGTGGAAACTTACTGAAAGTATTGAGCAGTAGATGAGCCAACTAGAAACTTACTGAACGTATGGAGCAGTAGATGAGCCAAGTGGAAACTTACTGAACGTATGGAGCAGTAGATGAGCCAACTAGAAACTTACTGAACGTATGGAGCAGTAGATGAGCCAACTAGAAACTTACTGAACGTATGGAGCAGTAGATGAGCCAACTAGAAACTTACTGAACGTATGGAGCAGTAGATGAACCAACTAGAAACTTACTGAACGTATGGAGCAGTAGATGAGCCAACTAGAAACTTACTGAACGTATGGAGCAGTAGATGAGCCAACTAGAAACTTACTGAACGTATGGAGCAGTAGATGAGCCAACTAGAAACTTACTGAACGTATGGAGCAGTAGATGAGCCAAGTGGAAACTTACTGAACGTATGGAGCAGTAGATGAACCAAGTGGAAACTTACTGAACGTATGGAGCAGTAGATGAGCCAAGTGGAAACTTACTGAAAGTATGGAGCAGTAGATGAGCCAACTAGAAACTTACTGAACGTATGGAGCAGTAGATGAGCCAACTAGAAACTTACTGAACGTATGGAGCAGTAGATGAACCAAGTGGAAACTTACTGAACGTATGGAGCAGTAGATGAGCCAACTAGAAACTTACTGAACGTATGGAGCAGTAGATGAACCAAGTGGAAACTTACTGAACGTATGGAGCAGTAGATGAGCCAAGTGGAAACTTACTGAAAGTATGGAGCAGTAGATGAGCCAACTAGAAACTTACTGAACGTATGGAGCAGTAGATGAGCCAAGTGGAAACTTACTGAAAGTATGGAGCAGTAGATGAGCCAACTAGAAACTTACTGAACGTATGGAGCAGTAGATGAGCCAACTAGAAACTTACTGAACGTATGGAGCAGTAGATGAACCAAGTGGAAACTTACTGAACGTATGGAGCAGTAGATGAGCCAACTAGAAACTTACTGAACGTATGGAGCAGTAGATGAACCAAGTGGAAACTTACTGAACGTATGGAGCAGTAGATGAGCCAAGTGGAAACTTACTGAAAGTATGGAGCAGCAGATGAGCCAACTAGAAACTTACTGAACGTATGGAGCAGTAGATGAGCCAAGTGGAAACTTACTGAACGTATGGAGCAGTAGATGAGCCAACTAGAAACTTACTGAACGTATGGAGCAGTAGATGAGCCAAGTGGAAACTTACTGAACGTATGGAGCAGTAGATGAGCCAAGTGGAAACTTACTGAACGTATGGAGCAGTAGATGAACCAAGTGGAAACTTACTGAACGTATGGAGCAGTAGATGAGCCAAGTGGAAACTTACTGAACGTATGGAGCAGTAGATGAGCCAACTAGAAACTTACTCAATAAACTCGGATATGTCCACCAAGCCATTCTTGTCGGTGTCCATTTCTTGGTGCATTTTCACAAAATCCTCGTCGGTCAGGATGTTGTTTTCGTCGTGGTCAAAGATTTCCCAAATCCAGTGCAGACGGTGCTCGATATACTTGAAGTACTCAGCCCTTGTCACCTCTCCGTTATGGTCCGCGTCGTATTTCTAGACAACGATGCCAGTTATCTTCATTAAATCAACATTTGCATTTTCTGTCTAGATCTATATCGTTTTTGTTATTTATTTAGCGATAACATTGAAGGATAACAAATTGTGTTCTTCCCTTAACCGGTTTTATCTGAGCAGTGGTGTGTGCTATTTGGTTTTGATTTTTTCTTCAGTTGCTACTTTTTTTCGATAGAATTACTGTTAAATAGTGTTAATTAATATTGATTAAAAAGGTATAAAATTGTAAATCGTGTTAAAGGTGTATCTACACTGATGAGTGGTAAAATCTTACAAATTAACGAGCTTGCTGCCCTATTGCAGCCATTTAACACCAGCTTATGAACAATGAATATAACAACTACCTACAAACTATACTTTCTGTAAATTATACTTAATACAAACTATCCTTTCTGTAAACTATACTAGCTGACAACTATACTTACTGAAAACATACCAGCAGTCTCCTGTACGGAGATGGTATCACTGCGGTCAGTGTCAGTTTCATGGAACATAGTCTTAAAGTCTTCATCACTGTAGAGATCTACATGAAACAACTGTTTTAGTTGTACACGACAACAGGATGTTTTAGTTATACACGACAACAGCACGATGTTTTAGTTATACACGACAACAACAGGATGTTTTAGTTATACACGACAACAGCCCGATGTTTTAGTTATACACGACAACAACAGGATGTTTTAGTTATACACGACAACAGCCCGATGTTTTAGTTATACACGACAACAACAGGATGTTTTAGTTATACACGACAACAGCACGATGTTTTAGTTATACACGACAACAACAGGATGTTTTAGTTATACACGACAACAGCACGATTATACAAGACAACAGGATGTTTGAGCTGTTTTAGTTTATGCCTGGTGTCCGGTAATCGACATAATCTAATCCTGGCAACCTTATAACAGAAATGCTCCAATGCATTACCCTACCTCACAACTTAACCTCACCCTACCTCACAACTTAACCTCACCCTACCTCACAACTTAACCTCACAACTTAACCTCACATTGTAACCCCACCCTACCTCACAACTTAACCTCACCCTACCTCACAACTTAACCTCACATTGTAACCCCACCCTACCTCACAACTTAACCTCACCCTACCTCACAACTTAACCTCACATTGTAACCCCACCCTACCTCACAACTTAACCCCACCCTACCTCACAACTTAACCTCACCCTACCTCACAACTTAACCCCACCCTACATCACAACTTAACCTCACCCTACCTCACAACTTAACCTCACCCTACCTCACAACTTAACCCCACCCTACCTCACAACTTAACCTCACCCTACCTCACAACTTAACCTCACAACTTAACCCCACCCTACCTCACAACTTAACCCCACCCTACCTCACAACTTAACCTCACCCTACCTCACAACTTAACCTCACAACTTAACCTCACCCTACCTCACAACTTAACCTCACAGCTTAACCCCACCCTACCTCACAACTTAACCTCACCCTACCTCACAACTTAACCCCACCCTACCTCACAACTTAACCCCACCCTATCTCACAACTTAACCTCACAACTTAACCTCACATTGTAACCTCACCCTACCTCACAACTTAACCTCACAACTTAACCTCACATTGTAACCCCACCCTACCTCACAACTTAACCTCACCCTACCTCACAACTTAACCTCACATTGTAACCCCACCCTACCTCACAACTTAACCCCACCCTACCTCACAACTTAACCCCACCCTACCTCACAACTTAACCTCACCCTACCTCACAACTTAACCTCACCCTACCTCACAACTTAACCCCACCCTACCTCACAACTTAACCTCACCCTACCTCACAACTTAACCTCACAACTTAACCTCACCCTACCTCACAACTTAACCTCACAGCTTAACCCTACCCTACCTCACAACTTAACCTCACAGCTTAACCCCACCCTACCTCACAACTTAACCCCACCCTACCTCACAACTTAACCTAACCCTACCTCACAACTTAACCTCACAGCTTAACCCCACCCTACCTCACAACTTAACCTCACCCTACCTCACAACTTAACCCCACCCTACCTCACAACTTAACCCCACCCTACCTCACAACTTAACCCCACCCTACCTCACAACTTAACCTCACAACTTAACCCCACCCTACCTCACAACTTAACCCCACCCTACCTCACAACTTAACCTCACCCTACCTCACAACTTAACCTCACAACTTAACCTCACCCTACCTCACAACTTAACCTCACAGCTTAACCCCACCCTACCTCACAACTTAACCTCACCCTACCTCACAACGTAACCCCACCCTACCTCACAACTTAACCCCACCCTATCTCACAACTTAATCTCACCCTACCTCACAACTTAACCCCACCCTACCTCACAACTTAACCTCACCCTACCTCACAACTTAACCTCACCCTACCTCACAACTTAACCTCACCCTACCTCACAACTTAACCCCACCCTACCTCACAACTTAACCTCACCCTACCTCACAACTTAACCTCACAACTTAACCTCACATTGTAACCTCACCCTACCTCACAACTTAACCTCACAACTTAACCTCACATTGTAACCCCACCCTACCTCACAACTTAACCTCACATTGTAACCTCACCCTACCTCACAGCTTAACCCTACCCTACCTCACAACTTAACCTCACAGCTTAACCCCACCCTACCTCACAACTTAACCTCACCCTACCTCACAACTTAACCTCAAACTATATCAAACATAGCCACACTGCGTCACTTCTAATCAAAACCACACGCCACATTTTACATGAATCTGTTCATGAAAGAAAATCTTACTTCCAAGTCTCTGTCCCAGCTTTTCTAGCAAGAATCCATTTGTATTGTCATCATTTAGATCATCGAAGACGTCACCGTTGCCGTCTGCTTGATAATCGTTGCCCAATCGACCTTCACTATGTGTGTCTCCTCCATGATGGTTTTGACCATCGCCATGTGGATCACTTTCTTGCGAGTCGCTGTCTTCAGAATTATCAGTGTCATACGAGTCGCTGTCTTCAGAATTATCAGTGTCATACGAGTCGCTGTCTTCAAAATTATCAGTGTCATACGATTCGCTGTCTTCAAAATTATCAGTGTCATACGAGTCGCTGTCTTCAAAATTATCAGTGTCATACGAGTCGCTGTCTTCAAAATTATCAGTGTCATACGAGTCGCTGTCTTCAAAATTATCAGTGTCATACGATTCGCTGTCTTCAAAATTATCAGTGTCATACGAGTCGCTGTCTTCAAAATTATCAGTGTCATACGAGTCGCTGTCTTCAAAATTATCAGTGTCATACGAGTCGCTGTCTTCAAAATTATCAGTGTCATACGAGTCGCTGTCTTCAAAATTATCAGTGTCATACGAGTCGCTGTCTTCAAAATGATCAGTGTCATACGAGTCGCTGTCTTCAAAATTATCAGTGTCATACGAGTCGCTGTCTTGAAAATTATCAGTGTCATACGAGTCGCTGTCTTCAAAATTATCAGTGTCATACGAGTCGCTGTCTTGAAAATTGTTATCAGCGTCTGTGTCTTCTATGTATCTGTCTTGAGATCTCCCAGCCAGTGCCAGTGCTGGGAGCAGACAAATGAGAAGTAACACCAACTTGTCCATAGTCTCTGGAACTTGGAACTCGATGAGAATATCTAAAACTGTACGAGTGATCGGAATAAATAGCAGCTATGTAACGATCATTCGATGGTTTAATATTTATAGTAAAGCGGGTTTGGCGTCAATAATATCTTTGTTTAGTCTCGGCTTAGTTCAAGATTTAATTACATTTTTAACGTAACGTGGCAGTCTATCGTGGGCCTGGTGGTATTGCACATTGTTAGTTTGTGTGTGTGTGATTTTGTGTGTTCGTGTGTTTGTTTCAATTTGTATAAGTTTATATATATATATATAACTATATATATATATATATATATATATATATATATATATATATATATATATATATATTTATATATATATATATATATATAACTATATATATATATATATATATATATATATATATATATATATATATATATATATATATATATATATATATATTTATTTATATAGTTATATATATATATATATATAGTTATATATATATATATAGTTATATATATATATAGTTATATATATATATATAGTTATATATATATATATATATAGTTATATATATATATATATATAGTTATATATATATAGTTATATATATATATAGTTATATATATATATATATATATATAGTTATATATATATATATTTATATATATATATATATAGTTATATATATATATATATATAGTTATATATATATATATAGTTATATATATATAGTTATATATATATAGTTATATATATATAGTTATATATATAGTTATATATATATATATATAGTTATATATATAGTTATATATATATAGTTATATATATAGTTATATATACATATATATATATATATAGTATATATATATATATATATATATATATATATATATATATAGTTATATATATATATAGTTATATATATATATAGTTATATATATATATAGTTATATATATATATATATAGTTATATATATATATATATATATATAGTTATATATATATATATATAGTTATATATATATATATATAGTTATATATATATATATATATAGTTATATATATATATATAGTTATATATATATATATAGTTATATATATATATAGTTATATATATAGTTATATATAGTTATATAGTTATATATATATAGTTATATATATAGTTATATATAGTTATATAGTTATATATATATATATATAGTTATATATAGTTATATAGTTATATATATATATATATATATATAGTTATATAGTTATATAGTTATACATATATATATATATATATATAGTTATATAGTTATATATATATATATATATATATATATATATATATATATATATATACATATATATATATATATATATATAACTATATAGTTATATATATATAGTTATATATATATATAGTTAAATAGTTATATAAATATAACTATATAGTTATATATATATATATATATATATATATATATATATATATATATATATAGTTATATATATATATATATATATATATATATATATATATATAGTTATATAGTTATATAGTTATACAGTTATACAGTTATACAGTTATACAGGTATATATATATATATATGGTGACAGGACAAATGATCTCAGACAAAATATCTCAGACAAAATATCTCACAGCAAAATGTTGAAAGAAGAAAAAAAAATAAAGGCATATTTCGAATTTAGTAACACAATTTTAATCATGCAGCCGGAAAAGTGTTTATAGTTGTTACAAGAACGCAATAAACAATGGCGTCACATGCCAAATGTTTACACTATGGAAAGAACACAAAACTAATGGCATTATCTTCCAATTTTAGAATATAAAGAAATGAACTATTTCATTCAAATTTGATTTAGATCTAGATTATATAAATGTACTTATCAAGACGTACGCTATGAAATATATACAATTTTCTCGCTCAAACTAATACAAATTACTTTAAAAAACACCATAATGACCATTGAATAGCCGGGTTTTTAACGAAATCATTTAAGTCTCTTAATCAGTATGTGGATTTAATATGGTGTTCTGTTAAATAATAATGTATAGCCTATAATTTGGTTTTAATTTTTCCAATAGGTATTAGTAGCCTATGTTCTTTTAAATATGTAGGATTTTTTTTTTCTATTTAGTTATTTCTTTGCTTTGTCACTAATATTGTTTAACATGTAGTAAAGCACATTAGGTTTTGACCAATATATAAAATATTTTTCTCAAACATGTATAACATTAAAAATTTATAAGCGTATAATTCACGTGTAACGGGTACCGACGGCTAGTCTAGACATTGCAGAACGTGAACAGGTCCCGTAGGGGAAGGGGGGGGGGAGGGGGGGAGGGGCTGACGCCTCTCTAATGACTTGACATCGAGTGGGTGCTATATTGTGTAGGTGAACGCGCTTTCAAACAGCAGCGCCAGAGATTGGATCTCCGGCGTCAAGAGACGATGGGTTGCTCACGCGTCATGACCCCTGTCTCAACCTTGCCGATTCAGTCCACAGGAATGCTAGGCAATACATTGGGCGCAAACACGGTTACACAAGCTGTTGACAGACGACCAGAGCTTGGACCCGGGGCTCCACTCCTGAACCTGGCTCCACTCCTGACCCGGGGCTCCACTCCTGACCCGGGCTCCACTCCTGACCCGGGCTCCACTCCTGACCCGGGCTCCACTCCTGACCCGGGCTCCACTCCTGACCCGGGCTCCACTCCTGACCCGGGGCTCCACTAATGACCCGGGCTCCACTCCTGACCCGGGGCTCCACTAATGACCCAGGCTCCACTCCTGACCCGGGCTCCACTCCTGACCCGGGGCTCCACTAATGACCCAGGCTCCACTCCTGACCCGGGCTCCACTCCTGACCCGGGCTCCACTCGAGGCTTACACCTTCAGCCATTTTATCGTAAGGCAGCGGGGTTTTTAAATCAGTGGCCCCTCTCATAGACTAATCGCCATACTAGGCTCACAAGTTCTGCCCAAAGCTCCCACTACCAGGCTCACAAGTTCTGCCCAAAGCTCCCACTACCAGGCTCACAAGTTCTGCCCAAAGCTCCCACTACCAGGCTCACAAGTTCTGCCCAAAGCTCCCAGTAATAGGCTCACAAGTTCTGCCCAAAGCTCCCACTACCAGGCTCACAAGTTCTGCCCAAAGCTCCCAGTAATAGGCTCACAAGTTCTGCCCAAAGCTCCCACTACCAGGCTCACAAGTTCTGCCCAAAGCTCCCAGTAATAGGCTCACAAGTTCTGCCCAAAGCTCCCAGTAATAGGCTCACAAGTTCTGCCCAAAGCTCCCACTACCAGGCTCACAAGTTCTGCCCAAAGCTCCCACTACCAGGCTCACAAGTTCTGCCCAAAGCTCCCAGTAATAGGCTCACAAGTTCTGCCCAAAGCTCCCAGTAATAGGCTCAAAAGTTCTGCCCAAAGCTCCCACTACCAGGCTCACAAGTTCTGCCCAAAGCTCCCAGTAATAGGCTCACAAGTTCTGCCCAAAGCTCCCAGTAATAGGCTCACAAGTTCTGCCCGAAGCTCCCAGTAATAGGCTCACAAGTTCTGCCCGAAGCTCCCAGTAATAGGCTCACAAGTTCTGCCCAAAGCTCCCAGTAATAGGCTCACAAGTTCTGCCCAAAGCTCCCACTACCAGGCTCACACGTTCTGCCCCAGTTTTAATGTCCCCAAGTATCCGCTGTCCACCCTTCACCTGTCAGCAAAAGCAATTTTACCAGCTTTAGGTACACGAGCAGGCCAGGAGCAGGCTATCTGAGACGTATGCCTTTAGGAGTATTTTATAGACAGTTGAAAAACCTTCAGCGGAAGTTAATTTTTAGTTGAACATGTATCAGTTCCTTTCTTTGTTGCTCACATAAATGCGCGGCCGGCCAGGTAGCTAGAAACATGTTTTTGAACAGAGCATATGTTTTGTGTTTTGTGTGATTCATTCTGAACACATTAGCTAGAAACATGTTTTTGAACAGAGCATATGTTTTGTGTTTTGTGTGATTCATTCTGAACACATTAGCTAGAAACATGTTTTTGAACAGAGCATATGTTTTGTGTTTTGTGTGATTCATTCTGAACACATTAGCTAGAAACATGTTTTTGAACAGAGCATATGTTTTGTGTTTTGTGTGATTCATTCTGAACACATTAGCTAGAAACATGTTTTTGAACAGAACATATGTTTTGTGTTTTGTGTGATTCATTCTGAACACATTAGCTAGAAACATGTTTTTGAACAGAGCAGATGTTTTGTGTTTTGTGTGATTCATTCTGAACACATTAGCTAGCAAAATGTTTTTGAACAGAGCAGATGTTTTGTGTTTTGTGTGATTCATTCTGAACACATTAGCTAGAAACATGTTTTTGAACAGAGCAGATGTTTTGTGTTTTGTGTGATTCATTCTGAACACATTAGCTAGAAACATGTTTTTGAACAGAGCAGATGTTTTGTGTTTTGTGTGATTCATTCTGAACACATTAGCTAGCAAAATGTTTTTGAACAGAGCAGATGTTTTGTGTTTTGTGTGATTCATTCTGAACACATTAGCTAGCAACATGTTTTTGAACAGAGCAGATGTTTTGTGTTTTGTGTGATTCATTCTGAACACATTAGCTAGAAACATGTTTTTGAACAGAGCAGATGTTTTGTGTTTTGTGTGATTCATTCTGAACACATTAGCTAGAAACATGTTTTTGAACAGAGCAGATGTTTTGTGTTTTGTGTGATTCATTCTGAACACATTAGCTAGCAAAATGTTTTTGAACAGAGCAGATGTTTTGTGTGATTCATTCTGAATTCCAAAAACTATTTTTAATATACACTATAGGTGAGGACGTTAGGCATCCAGATAGCCAATATCTAGTCAATAGGTTATTCATAAGCAGGCAGCTTTTCTTTTGCACGAATTCAACTAGGCCCTTCTGAAAGTTTATAAAGGATTCTCAACCATACATTTTTAATTAACCTGTATCGTCACTGATGATTAATTAAACAGCTCCATATTAAAATATATGTCATGCGGGTAGGATTATGAATAGCTGAACTTTGTATAATGGTTGAAATTAAGCGACAGGGTAAGACTAGTCACACAAACCTCACATCTGGCCCCACACACATCACATCAGGACCCACACACCTCACA